CACTTCTTCCCTCTCTTTCTCTCTCTCTTTCTCTCTCTCAACATCCGAGGGTCTGAGAATAGACTCGAGAACTAAGTTTCGGGGTAACACAACAACAACAATAAGAACTTGAAACGAGGAAAAAACTTGTTCAGCAGTGCCTGGCATTGCACCCTGGAGACAGACCACCAAGCAAAGCCTTAAAACGCCTTGGCACTGATCCTCCTCAGCTACGCAGTATCGACAGTACCCTCCAGCACCTGACTGCAGCAACTGGCGGTGCCACTGGTGCCTCACTGTGTCTCAGGGGAAATGTTGGCCCCATTGGGTTCATTAGTCTTGGCACTGTTCGCACTGCATAATAGCGTTTTTTTTTTTTTATTCGCCGGTATTCTCCCGGCCCGGGTCTTTTCCAAGTAGTGGTGACCCGGCCTTGGCTCCCTATCTGGGGAGTGTCTCGAGACCTAAGTCTCCCATGGGAGGAGGTACAAGTACCCCCTCATCTTTGGGACCAACTGTCCCACGCCCTCACGGGGCTCATAGGGAGAAGCTACGCCTCTGGTCTGCCATCTGCCCCGCCCCAAAGGGGCTCGTGGGGATGGCAGTCTTGTATTTAGAAGAAGAAGAAGAAGAAGAAGAAGAAGAAGAAGACTTCGGGTTATTAATCCAGGACAACCCAAGTAAGCCACAAAGCTTGGCTTACTTCCGCTGTAGCTCTTCGAGTCCTCTTGCCCAGGATGCAGCTCACAAAATAGGTCGACTAACAATTAAATGCTTATGTATTGCTAGGTGAACAGGGGCAGCAGGTGTAAGATGACTGCCACACGTCCGGATTCATGGAGGGGCGGAATTCAAAGTCTTCCAGGTGTTGAGTCGAGTGGTGTGTGACTGTACTACGAGTCAGTCTTTGTAGATGGTAGGGTACATCTAGTTGATGATACCATCGCTTGTTACTGGTTGTAGTTTGCTGGGTCGATCAAGTTGACGATACCATCGCTAGTCAATGATTCGCCATTGTTCTGCTAACGACCCGTCGCTGTGCTATTGCCAGTCCGAGAAAGTTAGTGAACCTCTAAGACTGTCGGGAAGCAAGGCAGCAGCAGCATCACCGCAGGCAGCATCACCACAGGCAGAACCACCGCAGGCAGCACCGCCACAGGCAGCTGCGAGTGATAAATTCTAACCTGAGACACACTCTCCCAGGTCTGTTTTCTCAGTCATTACCTCACCTTCACTGACCAGACCAACAACTTGAAGGTGCGGTACCTGAAGACCATAGTGTCGCACTTAAAGAGAGGGAGGCTGTCGGACTTCGAGGATGAGGCTGTTGGACGTCGAGGGTAAAGGTATCGCACTTCGAGTATGAAGGTGTCGGACTTCGAACAAGATGTCAGCTTAAGACGACATTTTGTAGAGCTTTTAATCTTTAATCAGAGCGAAACGTCTGTGTGGTTTCTGTGTATGTGTGTACATGTACAGACTGTGAACCAGTGACTGTACACCAGTGACTGTACACCAGTGACTATACACCAGTGACTGTACACCAGTGACTGTACACCAGTGACTGTACACCAGAGACTGTACACCAGTGACTGTACACCAGTGACTGTACGCCAGTGACTGTACACCAGTGACTGTACACCAGTGACTGTACACCAGTGACTGTACACCAGTGACTGTACACCAGTGACGGTACACCAGTGACTGTACACCAGTGACTGTACACCAATGACTGTACACCAGTGACTGTACACCAGTGACTGTACACCAGTGACTGTACACCAGTGACTGTACACCAGTGACTGTACACCAATGACTGTACACCAGTGACTGTACACCAGTGACTGTACACCAGTGACTGTACACCAGTGACTGTACACCAATGACTGTACACCAGTGACTGTACACCAGTGACTGTACACCAGTGACTGTACACCAATGACTGTACACCAGTGACTGTACACCAGTGACTGTACACCAGTGACTGTACACCAATGACTGTACAACCAGTGACTGTACACCAGTGACTGTACACCAGTGACTGTACACCAGTGACTGTACACCAGTGACTGTACACCAATGACTGTACGCCAGTGACTGTACACCAGTGACTGTACACCAGTGACTGTACACCAGTGACTGTACACCAATGACTGTACGCCAGTGACTGTACACCAGTGACTGTACACCAGTGACTGTACACCAGTGACTGTACACCAGTGACTGTACACCAGTGACTGTACACCAATGACTGTACACCAGTGACTGTACACCAGTGACTGTACACCAGTGACTGTACACCAGTGACTGTACACCAGTGACTGTACACCAGTGACTGTACACCAGTGACTGTACGACAATGACTGTACACCAGTGACTGTACACCAGTGACTGTACACCAGTGACTGTACACCAGTGACTGTACACCAGTGACTGTACACCGGTGACTGTACACCAGTGACTGTACACCAGTGACTGTACACCAGTGACTGTACAACCAGTGACTGTACACCAGTGACTGTACACCAGTGACTGTACACCAATGACTGTACACCAGTGACTGTACACCAGTGACTGTACACCAATGACTGTACACCAGTGACTGTACACCAGTGACTGTACACCAGTGACTGTACACCAGTGACTGTACACCGGTGACTGTACACCAGTGACTGTACACCAATGACTGTACACCAGTGACTGTACACCAGTGACTGTACACCAGTGACTGTACAACAGTGACTGTACACCAATGACTGTACACCAGTGACTGTACACCAGTGACTGTACACCAGTGACTGTACACCAGTGACTGTACACCAGTGACTGTACACCAGTGACTGTACACCAGTGACTGTACACCAGTGACTGTACACCAATGACTGTACACCAGTGACTGTACACCAATGACTGTACAACCATGACTGTACACCAGTGACTGTACACCAATGACTGTACACCAGTGACTGTACACCAGTGACTGTACACCAGTGACTGTACACCCAGTGACTGTACACCAATGACTGTAACACCAGTGACTGTACACCAGTGACTGTACACCAGTGACTGTACACCAGTGACTGTACACCAGTGACTGTACACCAGTGACTGTACACCAATGACTGTACACCAGTGACTGTACACCAGTGACTGTACACCAGTGACTGTACACCATGACTGTACACCAATGACTGTACAACCAGTGACTGTACACCAGTGACTGTACACCAGTGACTGTACACCAATGACTGTACACCAGTGACTGTACACCAGTGACTGTACACCAGTTGACTGTACACCAGTGACTGTACACCAGTGACTGTACACCAGTGACTGTACACCAATGACTGTACACCAGTGACTGTACACCAATGACTGTACACCAGTGACTGTACACCAGTGACTGTACACCAGTGACTGTACACCAGTGACTGTACACCAATGACTGTACATCCAGTGACTGTACACCATGACTGTACACCAGTGACTGTACACCAATGACTGTACACCAGTGAACTGGGACACCAGTGACTGTACACCAATGACTGTACACCAGTGACTGTACACCAGTGACTGTACACCAGTGACTGTACACCAGTGACTGTACACCAGTGACTGTACACACCAGTGACTGTACACCAGTGACTGTACACCAGTGACTGTACACAAGTGACTGTACAACCGGTGACTGTACACCAGTGACTGTACACCAGTGACTGTACACCAGTGACTGTACACCAGTGACTGTACACCGGTGACTGTACACCAGTGACTGTACACCAGTGACTGTACAACCAGTGACTGTACACCAGTGACTGTACACCAGTGACTGTACACCAGTGACTGTACACCAGTGACTGTACACCAGTGACTGTACAAACCCGTGACTGTACACCAGTGACTGTACACCAGTGACTGTACACCAGTGAGTGTACACCAGTGACTGTACACCAGTGACTGTACACCAGTGACTGTACACCAGTGACTGTACACCAGTGAGTGTACACCAGTGACTGTACACCAGTGACTGTACAACCAGTGACTGTACACCAGTGACTGTACACCAGTGACTGTACACCATTGATGTACACCAGTGACTGTACACCAGTGACTGTACACCAGTGACTGTACACCAGTGACTGTACACACCAGTGACTGTACACCAGTGACTGTACACCAGTGACTGTACACCAGTGACTGTACACCAGTGACTGTTGTTTATAAAACAATCAACAACAACGAACCAGTTTGATATTTGCTACTTCTAAACACCTGCAACTATGTCCATCTTGTGCACACGCTGGTTATAAACACTTGCAGCAACTTCGACCTTTCACACACACACACACACACACACACACACACACACACACACACACACACAACACACACACACACACACACAACACACACACACACACACACACACACACACGCTCCTAAAACACCTTCAACAATTCCACCTCCCGTCACAACATCAGAGAATCTCCGATCAGAAAATTTGGGTCTTGAAAGGTAAATTGATGGTTTTTCAACCTTGCCTTTTTTTGCATTCAAAAAAAAGGCTTCGAAATATGATTTTAATACTGAATAACGACATTGAAATATTTAATAACTTTTTTGTTATCTTTGACTCCAGTTAATTTAAGCTCAAAGAAAAACGGTTTATTTTTTTTTTACGTTCGACGTATTTTTACTTGTGAAGAATTAATGAGAATTTAAATGACGAATAAAAAAGTAATGTTTATAAGTAAGAATGTTGAAAGACTTGTCAGTTTATATCTTTATTACTTTAATAAAATATCTGGGGAAAAAATGAAGGGAACGAGGCGTGCGTTGAGGTAATAAAATATAATTCTGGCTAGGATGTCGTCTTTCTCCCTCCTTCATTTCCCTACCTCATCTCCCTCCCTCCTACCCTTGCCTTCCTCCCTCCGTCCCCCCCCCTCTTCCCTTCACCCCTTCTTTCCTCCCCTCAAGTCTCTCCCTCCCTCCTTCCCTTCCTCCCTCCATTTACTCACGTTATTTTCAAAGACTGTCTCAGGCTTGTCAGCTACTTCCATATACCAGGAGATCCAGAGACAGTTGTTGAGGATAAAGCTTAGGAAGAGATTCTTATGGAGACGGATACGTGTACACTGAAGACTCCTGTAGGACGGAAGACACATTTATTATTATTATTATTATTATTATTATTATTATTATTATTATTATTATATTATTATTGTTATTATTAACATAGGTGATGCCACAGGGTAGTGTCCTTGGCCCACTATTATTTCTCATCTATATAATTGACCTACCAAATGCCTCCCAGGAGCTTAAACGAGTCCTGTTTGTAGACGACACAACATTCGTTATATCTAATCATCATGCAGCAGATGAGCTCGTAA